GAGAGAAAGAGAAAGAGAGAGAATACAGGTTGGGGTTAAAAAAAAAATTAGGGTTTATTGAATTGATGGTTCATTTAAGCTCATAATTCATTTATCCTAATTTTGATGTGGAACGATGAGCCAGGTGATGCTGTAGGTTTTACTTGTCTTGTATTTCAATCCCCAGTGACTGAAGGCTGCAATAGTATTATCTTCACTAAAACACAGGTGGCCTGTGTCATCATCCCACAGTTATGATAACCTAATTATAGCCTCAGTCGTTTTAGACCTACTAATAAGACAGAAGACAGCACAATACTGACAGCCGGGGTTTTTTTCCCTCTTCCCTTCTGTCTCAAGCTCCATAACACTGGTCCCAGCAGTATTCGGGAGGCTGAGCTCCAGGTTGGCTGGCCCTCCCGTTTCCGTGACGAGAACCTGCTGTATGCCATGGAGATTCAAACTGACGGACCAATTAGCTGCAGGACGAACACCAGCCTCAACCCACTTGGTCTTCAGGTAACACGACAATATATGAAAACTCATGCATGCAAACGATTTTAAAAACTAATTTCAAGACCGAAATATATAATATATGGACATATTGCCTGTAGTGGAAATTAATATACTTCATAATATTCCTAACCAATTTACTTTTTCTTGCATAGCATCAAACCAAAGGACCTACTGCAATTTCAGACTTTTGTTTATTATCTTGCTAGCGGCTTATTCATCCATCCATCATTTATACCCACTTATTTAAAATATAATTGTACCCGTTGTCCTGGCTGCTTTCCATGTTCTTTGCCAGTTGGCTCAAAATGAGGTAGATGGAAAATTATGCTTATTAGTATAAATTAGAGCTGAAATAGTTTCCAGTGTGTATGATATCATGTGTAGAGTAATTCAAAAAGAAAACATGCAGTTATTTCAAGAAGTACATAATTATGTCAGAAAGTGAAATGCTACAAGATGTAATCATATATAAAAACAAAATGAGTCGAAGGTTTCTTTTTGATTTGGTCATTTCCAGTTTCCCAGTGTCTGTCAGTCCTTCAGTGTGTAGACTAGACTGACACACACTGGGCCAAAAGACACGTATTCACCAGTGTGACAGTGTGTGTTAATAAGATGTCAGTTTGGGATCTGGTAACTTGTGACAGACAATATACAGTATAAAAGTATATTAAATGAAAAATAATCAATAGCTTCGGCCCAGTTGACTGATCAGAACCACTGTTGCTGAAACAAGGGCATGATCCCTCACCACCTTCCCACCCGCCAGCACTGTGTTGTTAAAGAACCTGGCCAAACAGGAGGCATCGCTAGTGGGAAATGAACCCAGTAGGGTGTATTAGTGCCCTGTAGGGTCAGACATTTGAGAAAGGTTACTGTCTGGCTGAGGTGACAGAGCTGCTTCCCACTGAGCTGCAGGAAGAAAATGAGACTCTGAAATTTGTTGAGAGGTATAAGCAATCAATTAAATAAAATATATTTAAACTGTTTTGAGTCCATCAAGCTGCTCCCACAGCCCTGTGTCCATAGCCAGACTTCCAGAGGAGACACGATTTAAATACCTAACTATTATTATCTACCTGTTATCTGTGAGATCTGACTTGAGGACATTCAGTATCGTTGTTTTTTTTATTGCTGACTGTATGAGCTGCAATCAGGAAATTAAATCTCTTCAAATCCGTCTCTCAACAAAACACTTTTTAATAAGATTGCTAAATGTCACACTTGTTTCCGCAACTTGTCTTATTTTATTACGTCTCTTAAAATCTTACTTTACAAGCGTTCTTCTGGTCTGGCTTCAGGTCCACCACCTCCTTCTCATTGGCTGTCTGGGTTGCATCAGAGCCCATGTGCACTACAGACTGCACTAAACCAATATGTGATAATCAGTATGTTTTAACTGTCCTCAAAAGACCCAAACACATGCTGTAGAGGGAATGTTTAAAGATAAAACAGAATAGTAAGCAGTGGAGCAACTTAGCATTTTCTGTTGTTTTCTTCTTCAGCATCTCCATTTTTTCAAATCTGTAGTCTGACACGTTATCGGTGAACTCTCACTCTGGGAATATATATAGGTTTGACTGTCTGAAATACATGAAACAATTCTAATCAAATTGTCAACTTTGTGGGTCAAGTTCTTAATTTGATCATCTTTTCATTTCTATTTGAAATGCTGAAATAAAAAAGTGAAATAGTCAAAATGTTGACAACTGTTTCTCCTTGTCCGTCTCAGATTTCCTCTCTCCAGGACACACCTGAGTTATTGGGTTTCTTGAGGAACACCAGCGCTCCTCATCAGCGCCACAAACGCGCCGTCAGTGCCGCTCAGAGTTATAGCGGTAAAACCTTGGTGAGCCTCAACAACGTACAGGTCCATTCTGTAAAGAAACTGAACCAAACGTACATTAGTGATTCACAGATGTGTAATCTCTCTGTGCTACCTCTGTTCTGTTTCTCCTCTTGTTTCTCTACAGAACTGCACCAATATTTCCTGTCTGAGGATCATGTGTGTGGTTGGCCGCTTGGATCGTGGACAGAGCGCAGTAGTCAAGATCCGCTCGAGACTCTGGGCACATACTTTCCTGCAGGTCAGTGTCTTGACATCTTGAAATGTTTTGTTCGTTATTTGTTTGGTGCTTTATTTCCTGCATACATTCATCTCTTTTTTGGTTTTTTTTCTATGTTTTTTCTTGTTCATTGTGCAACTATACTAAACTAAACTAACTAAGGTTTAATGTTAATTCCTGACCATTGAAACAGCAGTTCTGAAAATATTTTCATAATAAGGTCCATTTAGTAGCAGTTCTGGAGCTTTTAATCATAACACATGATCAGCAGATGCTGTTTCCCCGGTTGTCATTAAAGTTGTTCAAAGATCAAACAAAGCTTTACTAGATGTGCTAACTTACAAATCAACATAATATTTCAAATATTTTACGGGTCAAATGGTACTTTTTAAATAATAATAGTATATTTGTCTTACAGCGGCGTAACGACCCCTACATTCTCAATTCTACTGTGTCCTTTATGGTCTTGACCATGCCTTACCGCATCCAACCCTCCAACCTGCCTCAACACACCACCTCGGTAAGATGTAGGCAGTAACAGTGTGTTGTAAGTGTGTGCATTTGTGTCAGGCACTCGAGGAGAAAAAGGACACGAATCAGCACGTAACTGTATCTATCTGTGTCCTGCAGATGGGGACCCTGGTGTTGTGGGGGACTCCTGATGTGTCGTTTGCTGTTCCACTCTGGGTCATCATCCTAGCCATACTGCTGGGGCTGCTGGTGCTGGCCATGCTAACATTAGCCATGTGGAAGGTACACACACACATTAACGCAGCACCCACCATCCTTAGCTTTCCTTGTGATTGTTTAATTATCCAATATAACACTAATGGGTTCATGTGATTCCCTCAGTGTGGTTTCTTTGACCGGGCACGCCCACCAGCTGACGATGACGTCTCCGACCAGGAGCAGCTGACTTCTGATCAAACAGGGGACGCCTAAGACGATACGCAACAGCTCCTGATTGGAGGACTGTGGTTTGGGAGGGATGTGCACCTTCTGAGTAACTTAAATCGGATCTGAGATCTGCATTAGTTGGACAATACATTCCTTTGCTGGAGGTCTTCTGCCTCTTTGGTAACGAAACTGACTGAAAGCACAGACTGAAGACTGCAGAGCCACACAGACTGGGACCAAAGAACGAGGTTCAAACCAGACAGAGTGGGACCAAAACACACTTAACAGGCTCAATCACACACACATGTTCATTGTTTATCCATTGTGATGAAGAACTGAAGACAGAATGGACTTTGTTGTGAAGACAATGCTTTAAATGTTTCTGTAACTGAACATTTTTGTGTGTCCGTGAGAGTGAGACACAGAGACTTGAGATCTATGCACAAGTGCTTTTGTGAGTGTGAGAGTGTGTGTGTGCGTCTGTGCGTGTGTGTGTCTATGGGGGTACATATGTGTATGTTTATTAGGTACCCCTCTTTTTATCCTTTTTTTTTCAGTTTTGAAACTCCCCACCTGATTTAATTTATCTTCGTTTTCTTCAAACTGAGTTGTACACAGATTTATCACACAGACACACACGCACACACACAGATGCAGCAACATGCATAAACACAAAGGCACAAAGTTGATGTGTATATTTATGAATGTATGTGCAATATTTGAGCGTTGCGTGATACTGAAGCTTGTTTACACTGGCATTATTTTATTAGAGCTTAATGTTTCCATTGTTTATGTATATAAATGATTTAATAAATGCTATATTAGTTATTGATATTGCTGAACAACAAAAGTAATAGTTTGGACTGATTTACAGTAAAGCCACCCACCACATGAGTTTTTCACAAATAACAAATAACTAACTTATTATTGTCTTGATAGAATGATTTTAGGATTTTATCTTTGAGGAAACCATGTCTCCACAGCCAAAGCCCTGCCCTGCTAGTTCAAGGTTTGTGGGTATTGCTGTTATTTTGGATTTTCTTGCCAGTTGATAAGACTTCAAAAACTAGCTGCAAAGATAAACAGTCTCTATCAAAAACTCGTTGTAGACAGTCTGAGACTGTACATTACTGCACGTAACTGTATGGCATTTAACAGTGTGTTTGATGTTGTCATTTGTTTATCTTATATTAGAGTTTAATGCACAGGCAGCACAAAAAAACGGTCAGGATCATCAACAGCAACCTGAGTTTAAAACTAACTTTTAATGTGTCATGTTTGAGTCATATTTGGTTTTTGTATCAAGTGTGAAGTTTTATCACAATAAAGTGTTGTTCCTTTTCTGTGGAGAAGGTAACTGGACTTGTCCTGTCAAACATGAAGTTAGAGAGTAAAATCATCAATGCATTTGTTACAAAAGAAACATAAAATAATTAAACATATGAATATTAAAATATGTTAAAGTAGTAATGATTACATTTTCATCTCTGCTACAGAGTTCTTTACCCATTAAGGTTAATTATTTCACCTTTCAACCCACAAACTCTTCAAACTTTTCTGTCTAATCCTACATTTTGTTAATACTAACAGACATAGCACTTTTGCACAGTACAGGTTACATTCACTTTTACAAGATAATTTTACACACCAAAGTGTTTGGTACGTTGTTTAAAAAATAACTTATACTACATTTTTTATTAAGGTTAATTTCCTCTATTTTACTTTACTCTTTGAAAATGTTTTATTCACAGTACAACAGACAAATATAGATATAACAATGTTTTCTAGTCAGTCCTGTCTAATAAGATTAGTGTTCAACACTGATGGCAGAGGAAGGACTCTTGCTCCCTCAGGTGGTACAATGTAGAAATAAATCTGAGTGACTGTTTTGGAGGAGCAGGACAGTAAAACCTGACAGAGGGTGTGAGGACAGGAACCTCTTGTGGTGAACTGAAACTTTGGCGATCCATCCATATATAAGACAAGTAAAAAGATAAGAACTGGTGTGTGGAGATACATTTTTTTCTTGAGGTACTTTGTATTCTTAGCTTTAAATTGATACAATTTCAAGTAGGGATAGACCGATTATTGGCCTGGCTGATTATTGGATTTCATATTCAGCATTTGTCTGACTATCGGTATCATTATTGTTTTATCCGATGGCTGGTAAAATATTTGTAAATGCGTTACTTTGGTTTTTGATGCAGCCGCCTCTCTCTTTCTGTAGTCACCACTCTGTACCAAAGTACCTAAGGTAAAATAAGTCCAAAGTACTAATTAAAGTTATCAAATAAAGCAGAAAGTATAACGTAGCATAAAATGGAAAAGTAAAGTGCAAGTACATCAAAATTGTACTTATGTACAGTACTTGAGTAAATATACTTAGTTACCTTCCACCACTGGTTATTCTAAATTTGAATACTAAGAGTTTCCTTTTTAATATATCAGCTCCAATTTCATATCAGCTATATTATTTATTTGATTACTAATAATTGGTATCTCCATTGGCCCTGCAAAAAATGTCAAGGCAACTGAGTTTTGTATTATATAATTGTGACTATTACAAGTTAAATACCTATTCTGTAAGTAGTAGTAGTTTTCATGGTGCAACAAGCCAGCAGCTAGTTTGTTTTTTGGGCAACAATTCATTGAGATAATCTTTATTTATTGTTCCTTACAACACCTGTGACCCCACAAGGAAACAATTTGAAAAATTGCTACAGTTTATTTCTCTAATTCTTATTCATATGTACAGCTACAGGTTAGTAACAACATGATTCACCTGCCCTTTACGAGAAAATACAAGTCGGTTTGATTCGATGTATTCCCGTTACAAGATGGTCGGGTGAACTGAGCATTAAGTAAATAGTCTGTAAGGCGTTATGGGAGATGTATTTTATTATTTTGTGTATTTTATTATTTTGTGTTATTAGGTGTGTTTACTGATGATTCTGAAATATAAACATTCACTGATAAACCTCCTGTCATATTTCCAAATTAGCAGCCTTTTTGGAGATATTGATGCTCATGTTTGTCTAATGTTTGTCGGACTAGCACAGAGCATACAGATACTCCACAGAAGGCAGCCTGAGAGTGAAACAGAATAATCCATACTTCACATCTATGTTCCTTAGAGCCTAGTATGGTATAATGCTTCACATACATTCTTCTTTTCTACAATAAAGCAAGAATGTACATACACACAATATACACATATACTATACAGATATACAGTTACATCTTTATAGTATATCAGATCCCAGGAGGTAGCTCAAATTTAGATCCAACTCGTACATAAATAATTTGTTTACAAAGGTGTATAAAGTCAGCAGAGGTCGAAATGGTGCAGCACACAGCAATGTAACTGTGCATGAATCCATGTGCATGTAGATATGACTGTTGCAGATGTTCGATTATTCTTTGATATTCCCAAACTGTGCATGAATCCAAACACAATTTATCATGCATGAGTTATTAAACTGCAGATTGCATTATTGTTCACGAGCAGTGCAACTAGGAAAAACATATTATTTTGAAACACAAAGCAAGTGATTAACATGTCATCTATTCTTGCCTTCAACTGAAGGCCTGTGTGCAGGTTCTCAACATAATCTGAGGCACAATGGGCCGCCATACTAAACAAATTCAGGCCATGACCCTTTTATGTGCAACTGAAACACTTCAACAATATGTAAAAATGATTCTGCTCATAGGCAGTATTTTTTTATGCTTACTGAACACTGAACTGTTAACCAACAACAGAAAGTGGGAGGTGATGATTGTAATTGTCACCTTTTTAAAGGATTATTTTCTGTGTATTATGATGATGATATTCATATTTGTCCTCAATTTGTTATTTTTCTTCTTCTATAAATTTAATCATTGGAGATAATTTGTGCAGAGACCAGTGGTCAGGATGTAATAAGGAGAGAATATTACACAGATAACATTCAAAAATAGGATGCAAGACTTTCTGAAGGCAAAATGCATTTAGAAGAAACCAATATGAAGACTCTCTAAAAGAAGCAATTTATGTATACTATATACAAATGTATATTTTAGCTAGCTAAACTACAAATAGGCAAAACAGCAATTCTGCAGCAAGAAATTGTGCAATCACTCTCTCCAAATAGTCCCTGTCCCAGTCTTGTCATAGCTGGTATGGAGAATATTAAAGTTTCTTGTGGGAAATATCAAAGCCAGAGAGCAGAGGTGGAGATATTATCAGGCATGTCTCAAGTGGAAACATTTATCACCGTCATACAGCTGACAAAGCACATATTCACATACAGAGAAATACCCTCCTTCTGTCTTTGTCTTTCACAAAAAGAGACAGTGTTTTTCTTTAGACTCTTTATTTGTTTTTAATATATTTGCTCAAATGTAAAATCAAACATTTGAAGTAAAGATTTAACAGTTTCTGACTAGCAAACCTCAACACCATCAAAATAAGGGAACATTATTGATACATACTACATACTGTACGTAGGACATACTGTATCTTAGCTGAGATTTATCCAACAAACAGACCCGAATTACAAAATCTTTTTTTTTTTTTAAAGTCTTTTAATCCTGTAATTTCCTGTGTTTTCTTCTTTTTTTTTTGAGCTGGTGCAAAATAAAATATCTTAGGTGAAGCAATATCCTGTATTTCTGTCAAATAAATGATGTATTTTGGAAATTAAACTTCACTTCAAAAGGTCTGTACATGGGGTTCAGTGTCCATCCTCTCCACTGGCAACAAGGTCATACCAACATTATAATGGAAGACTTTGGCTATTTACAAATCGCTGAGATGCTGTACTGTTACTGTACAATTTCTCTCAGACATGCTGTACATTACTTCTGTGTATTAGTTAGACTAAAACACCCCCCACCCCCCACATGACAAAGTGCAATTCTATAGATCACCACAAGGCGGCGCTTATACACCATATTCAACATTATTTAGAAAAGCTCTGAAAATTACATATTTTAAGGGGTCCAGCTTAAGCATATTTGTGAGCAAAAAGGGGTATTACTAAACCTTTGAATTTAAAAGCACCAACACACCAGCGGTCCACCCTCATTTGCACTTATTCTGCCCGTCTCTTCTCAGGACTGGTCGGGTGTGTACAGACTACAATTGACTGATAACTCCTTGTTGCACCTGTTGGGGCGCCATAGCTCCTCCCAGCTTGAACCTGAGCTGAGGTCTAATTAACCACTGTGTGGGTGTGCAGGGCCTTTAAAGGAATACTTCAACATTTTGGGAAATGTGCTTATTCGCATTCTTGCAGAAGGTTAGACGAGAAGATAGATGTCACTCTTATGTATACAGTAAATATGAAGCTACAGCCAGATGCCGGTCAGCTTGGCTTAACCTCATATTTATTTACCCTACAGAATATAAAAATAGCATTAATCTTTTCACCTTTCTCTCTGCAAGAAAGCAAAATAAATCTATTTCCCAGAATTTCTCTTTCTACATGTTGACTGTGTCATGATGTCACTTCAGGTCTGTATTTGAAAAATAATAATTTCTTAAAGAAAAGGTACAAACACAGGCCAGGCTCACGGAGTTACAAAGACAAACTGATGAAACAGTACCTCTACTTTGTAACAGTGAAAAATATAAGAACACATCATTTTGGAGAACAGTCACTGGGCAGTGTTTAGCCTGAGCAGTCGAACACAAACAGAAGAGAACAGTCTGGGTTTACAATAAACACCTTTCAGGAGTTATAAAAGGTTCATGGCTATTATGATAAACTGCAGTTCATATTCACACATACTGTATGTTACAGTGTGCAAGTCAACTCAAATTCTGAGGCGGCCAAATTATGCAGATGTCCCCAAAGAAATGTGGCACATTCATGGACATGAGATCAATACCTGAACTGACAAAAATGATAGCAGGAAAACTTGATATAGGTGAGTTAATGGAATGATTGAAGAAGGAGGCGCTGTGGCACATACAGTACATAGGCTACATAAGGGTTAGAATATCTATACACACACTGTACACTCTTTAGGATACAATTTACTGTACATGATCAACACTAGCTGGTTAGTTAACTCTACAACTCTCTTTCTCTTTATAGTAGCTCTATCTGTCATCAAAAATAAAGTTGAGATAGTTTGCCCGATGTGTTTACATTCCCTGCTCCAGTATATAATGTTTTCTCTCAATGATAAACCTGTAGGACATTATGCAATGAAAAACAGTCGGTTGATTATTCTCATTATATCTAACAGCTGAGGAACAGGGACACCACCACCACCACTAACAACACCACACTGCCGCTGGGTGCTTCATCAAAGTGCTGCTGCTCAGAACGCACGCATACACATGTGACTTTGGACATGCACATACTGTCTCAGGCCTACACACACACACACACACA